ACAGAAAGAGTGGGACAAAACAATGTCACCAACCAGATAACAAGCACTCATCAAATACCTATTTCTCAGGCAGTGCCTGAGCCTATATTATGTATGTGTTTGAGAGGGGCGGAGGCATTTAAAATGCCTGGGTAGAAAACAGACATACCCAGGAAAAGATAATTGAGAATACAAGACAATGTCACTGAGAGAGGCTGCAGCAAGAGTCAGAACCTGACAGGTCTGGTCTGAGTTCTGCCAGGGGAGACATCAGGCAGGTCCCCGACCCTTGCTGGGCCTCAGTCTTCTCATCTCTAAACTGAGAATAATAACTGCCTTGTCCAATTGTCAGGCATCATGAAGATCAAATGTGATAACGAACATGAAGACACTCAGAACTTGAAAGCCTTTAAACCTAAGCATGAGGAAGCGGCACATAGTGGAGTAGGAAGTTCAGAAGGGAGGCTGTGCGGGGCCGAGCCGAGCGGGTACAGCTTCCCTAGGAGGTGGGCCCTGAATCAGGGCGGGCCTGGAGAAGCAGGTGCTGGGCGGTTTCGTGGACATAGCATCTGGACCTGCTACTGAGCAAAGGGCTCCCACTGGGTCTTCCCGAGTGAGAGTGACCCGCCAGGCAAGGATCTGGAACTGAAAGTGTGGGCGGAGCAGAGAGGGAGGGAGGAAGGTACCATGATAATGAGGGTGAGATGTTCAAAGAGCCCAACGAATGTCTGATGAGGATATCTGCATCTGTTTTCCAGATATGCACCCTGAAGATTTTCCTTAGGATGCTTTAAAGGAGCACGATGTGCAAACCAATTGCTAGGCAAAGATCTCGTTTAATCAAACTACGACGTTTTCAAAAGACTGTTCCACCAGAGGGTGAACCGTCTGATGGTAACTTACATGCACACACAGCCTCAGAACTTGTGGTTTACCTGCAGTCTAATTTTTTAAACCCAACCATACTTCTTTCAGGTCTTGAGTACATACTAATAGGTAGAGCAGCCCTTGCCGTTGTTAAAAATCAGCATAAACTAGAAAAGCAGGCAATGACGGCACTAAACATTTCAAGGTCAAAGGCTCAAGCACAGAATCCATCCAGCCCTGGTAATTTCTGGTTATGGTTAAGAAAAAAAGATTTTCAGTGTCACGTAGTCTTCTCTAACTCACAGGAATGAGCGATAACTGCATACCACACAGAGCACGCTCCCCTCTGTGTCCTGGGCTGCAGACCATGTAGCCACACTGGCTCTAACTCTGACATCAAAGGCACCAATGCCCAAGACTGGCCTTTCCTTCTCAACTGTGTGTGATCCTGGAGCGCTCCCACACGGGAGGCGACCAGGACGGAACTGCGAGGAACACCTGTATACCAGACCAGTGGGGGGCCGGCCACCTGGAGGGGGCACTTCTGGGAGCAGATCTGGCTGTTGGGTTGAACCTCTCCCCATCACCACAGATGTCAGACGTTGGTGGCAGGCACACTGAGCCACTGGTGATAAGGCAGTGGGACAGAGGAACCTGCACCAAGGCTCCACATCAAGGTGCAAGGTGGGCTGGGATGCAGGTTGCCACGGGGCAGCAGCTCTGAGAAGACGGCAGGAAGTCAGGTTACCAGAGTGACCTTCAGGACTCCTCGGTCCTCCAGGCCCTGCACCAATGGCGGTTCCTAGCAGCATCCAAACTCATGCCCTCCACTGGCACGAAGGGACAGATGGGCTGCTTAAACCTTTCACAAAGAAAAGGTCAGCCCTAGGTTTTCAATCCCATCCTAATGTTGTGTGTTTTTAAATTTGCCTTTAAATCTTCCCTGGTTATGGACGGCTGACGGTCAACCCATTCTGAGCCCTCAGTCCTTCCCTGAGTGCATCGCTGCAGGAGAAGAGAGGCGCAACGGACAGGGAGCCGGGAAGCCTGAAGTCTGCCACAGTTTTACTCAGCAGAACTCAACGTCATTCCATTCGAACCAAACCAAACCCTGTCTGTGGGAAGAGGCTTGTCAGCACGGGGATCTGGATCATTTCCCAGGTGACTTCTGTCCTTCATGCTAAGGAAGTATAAGAGAGCACCAGCCATCGGGAGGCCCTTTATGCTATTTCAGGGACGTGGGAGCTCTTTCCTTTCCTTTTATTTCAAGTTATCTTAAGCATTAAAAGGAGGAAAAAACCTAGTCTGGTGTTAGAAGAAAGGACAAAACCCCTTTTGTAGGTTTCTTGCTGGCACCTTAGGCAAATCACTTCACCTCTCTGGGCCTCAGTTTCCTCAACTGTAAAATGAGAGAGGTGGCTTAGGTCTGGGTGTGTGGGCCTTAGAAACCATTCATTGGTTATCTGAGACCCTACTACCTGCCAGGCACTGTCGCAGGCTCTAAGACAGCAAGCCTTCCACAGTCCAATTAGATTCCAGAGAAACTGAAAGTGGAGGAGGACCCAACAAGACACAGTCAGGCAGTGACAAGCACTGAAAATACACACGGAGGGCCTGGGCAGGGGTGGAGCGCTGACTTCACTCTAAGGAGTGTGTCAGGGACGGCCTCTCTGAGGAGGCGAGAGTTGAGGAGAGTGGAATGACGAGAAGGAGGCAGCCCCTTCATTCCAAGCATAGTAACAGCATGGACAAAGCCCTGAAGTAGGAATAAGATTTGGTTCTCTTCCCAGACCCTCTTTTTCATTTTAGACCCCCCCTCCCAGTAATATGCATTAATTCCATTTAAATGTATTTACACATAACTTTTTAAAGAGTAGCAAAAATATTTGATCTGAACTACTCCTTCAAGACAGCCTTTCTCTTCTACACAACTCCTTTGTTATTCTGTCCTCATGGTTATAAATTCTCCCACATATTCCAGGCAAGAGTGAGCAGGATGTAATGCAGTGTTTTCCAAACTTTTATGACAGTCACTCACAGTGAGAAAGAAATCTTACATTGTGACCTAGTGCATACATAAAAACGAAACACAAGTTTAGAAAGCCAAGTTTATTGCAACTATCTGCAAGGCACTGTACTACATTCAACTTTTTTTAACGCCAATGTGATTTCATGGGTAACTTATAGTTTGAAAAACAGTATTCTAAACCAACATTGGCTACGAGTTCTGTTCAAAGAGGAACCAAAACATGGAAAACTTCAATATGAAACAGTCTCAAAGGCCACCTTCCTCTCTCCCTTTTTTCTGTCCACATTCCTGCCTTGAAGCAGTGGGACCCAATTCCTCTGTGTGGCTGATGGAGGAGATGCCCAGAGGAGACATCTTCAGGGGGGCTGGGCGGGGAAAGGAAGCCAACGCACACGGTTCACGAGGCGAGGAGACACCTTTGGTTTCAAAGATGGCCCAGGAAGGACAGGGTCACAAAGTCTTCACCATAACAAGAAGAGAAGGGGGTGTGTGTTGGGGGGCTGCCAGATTTCAGGTTCCTACAGGGTGTCAGCCTGCCCCCTCCTCCCTCACTGGAACGCCAGTCCCACGTGGCAGATGTACAACCGCAACTCGTGCAGCGCACCTCGCAGCAGCTCACACAGAGCAGACGGGCGCTCAACAGCACTGTTAGGAACTTCTCCATAATGGAGCTCGTTGTCACCGTCAGACCCTAACTTTGCTAGTATATCCAATTGTTACATTTTCCTGGGATGTATAAATGCCATACAATAGTAAACGAAACTCGTTTATCTTCAAGTCACTGTTTAAGCAGGGAACTCAATCTGCTATTTTTCTCAAGTACTCAGTGGGAAAAGGATGTTGTCTACTGGAAGGTACCAGAGACAGTGCAATGGAAAGAGGCCCTGTCCGCTAGCGGCCAAGGTAAACAGCTGGGATTAACACGAGTGTGTTAATTTAACAGGTAGTTTCTCAAGGGGCACTAACCAGTGGGCTCTGTCAGCCAAGGGCTCGCTGTGACAGAAACGGTGCCAACTTCTCTGTGAAATGCACCTACCGTCCTGGCCCCAGAAGTCAGAAGTGCATGCACCCAATTTCCAGTAGCCACCGGGCCCTGGAGCCGAAAAATTACCCCTGCAAGCAAGCATTTCACACACGGCCACACGGACAGAGAGCAGCTGGTCCAGACTGTGCCCTTCAGCCCCATTTACGGACATCATTAATGATTTCAGATTACAACTGTTGCTTCATCTCAAAACAGTGATAAACAGGCGAGCTCCCTTCTTGATACCTTTAATTCTTTATCTGCTCTCCTCACAGGAGCAAAAGAGATGTTGAGACAAGCGAGAGCCTGCCAGAGCTGCTCGTCACAGACGCGGCCTCCTTCCTTCCCTCTCTTTTCCGCCCCAGCACCCTCCCTCCGGACTTCCCGAGATGAGGCAGTAGCCTCCGGTAAGGAACTGAAGTGGCTCCTCATCATAATAAGGAGGGACTCGCCACAGAGGGAGAGTCAGGCGACAGAGGCGAGAACCCCTCCCCCACCCCAGCAGGTCAATTCACCCCGTTCCCCCGGGGCAACAACAGGTAGAAAGTCTTAGGGGAGGGCGGTCAACCCACTCAAATTAAGCAGCATCCGCGTAAAAGCGAGATGGAGCAAACCCTGCTGCCAAACCGGAGGTGTGGGCGGGCGAGCGCTGCCTGTGCACAGGGACAGCCTATATACGGGCGAGACATCAGTGGCAACGAAGGGAGACCCACCACGGCTGACAAAGCCACAACCATGACGACTTGAAATATCACCCGCAGGCACTGCCTTCAGTGCCAAAATCTCGGATTTATTTTCAGGCAAGTGACTCACAACCTCGCCTCCATCAGTAATTCCATTAAAATGAGACGCCGGTTCCACTCACCCGACTTTCCACTGCCTTCTGGCGGCCCCCCCGCCCATCCTGCAAACCCAGACAGCTCCCAGACTGAGCAACCTTACGCCAGGGGAGCAGGAGACAGACAGGCTCTCCGGCCCGGCCCGGCCCCTGGGGGAGGATGAAGGGGGTCGCAGGCGGGCGCGCGGGGAAAGCGCGTGTGGGCTGCGCGCGGGGTGTGTACGTGTGTGTGCGCGCGTGGGCACGCACCCCGGCCAACTTACGGAGGTGGAGTTGGTCCTTGCCTGGCCCTGGTTCCGCACCTCCTGCTCCCGGAACTGCAGTCCAGCCAGATGCTTCTCTAGCGCCTCCCAGTCCATAGGAGGCACCGGGGGCTCCTCTGGGACGCACGTCCCGCCGTCCGTGGGCTGGAGGCAGAGGCCCCCCGCTGCCGGGCCTGGGCCGCCGCGCCGGCCCCCTGCCGGCTGGGGCTTCTGGGTCGCCCGGCGGGGGCCCCGGGAACTGCTCGGCCGGCCGGCCACCACCACGTTGCCATTGTGCCTGAGGTCCTGGGGGTCGTGCGGGTGGAGGTTGCCGTTGGGCACCGGGGGTGGCATGGCGGCGGTGGCGCTCCTGCCCCCGCCGCCGCCGCCGCCGCTGCAGGTCCTGGCGCTCACGTCCCCCGGCTCCCGGGCCGGACAGCGGTCATCCCGGTACCCTCGCCGGTCAGGGTCGTCGCCGTCGTCCTCCTCCTCCTCTTCGTCCTCCTCCGGCGCCCACTCATCAATCACCTTCTTCTGGTAGACCGGGAAGGGCTCCTCATAGTCCTCCAGGGCAGACACCAAGTCCAGGCTGCCCCCCGGCGACGACGAGGATTTGCACTCGGAGCAAGGGGTCACTTTGGTGGAGTTGGACTGCGAACTGGCGCGGCTACTGCTGCTGCTGCTGCTGCCGGCGTCACTGCCTAGATCCATCCCATCCTCTCGGTAATCCTGGGGGAGGAGGCAAAGAGAGTGAGCCGCCGGGCAGACCTGTCCGGCGCCCGCCCCCCGCGAACGCCCCGGCCGGGGCCCCGCGCCCGCCTGGCCCGGGATGCGCCCCCAGGAGGCCTGGGAGCGGAGCCGGCACCAGCCTGGGCTGCCCTTAGCCCGCCGCCCTCCCCTACCACACCAGACTGCCCCCCGGGAACTAACCCTCAAATTAGCAAGGGGGGGGCCAGCCACCAGCGCGCACACTTTCCAGACGCGGGGCCCCGGGGCGCGCGTGGACTTTGTTTTAACCATTTTGCGCCGGGCGCGCCCCTGCACCCCGCCCCAAGGATTCTCCGGGAACCAGACACTTTCCCGGAGAATTCTAATTCTCTGGGGGCGGGGACCGACGGGAGGGTGGGCGGCTACTAATTTCGCCCCTCGCTCGCGGCGCCGAGACCACCCCCCGCCCGCCCGCCCGCCCCCGGCGGCGGGAGCCGGCTCGCGGGCGTGCCGAGCCTGACTTCCTGAGGCCCCGCCGCGGCTCGCAGGGCTCGCTGCGCCCCCGCCCGCCCCTCCGCCGCCCGCCGGAAGGCTCTCGGCTCCGCCGGGCGGGTGCCCCGCCGGCCCGGGGGAGGAGGGCGCGCCCGCCCGGCGGAGCTGGTCCCGCCACCGAGCATGCCCAGAGGCTGCCGGGCGCGGCGCCGTCCGCTCGCCCCGGCCCCGCGGCTGCGGGCTGAGGGGGGATCTCGGCGGAGGCCCGGGCGGAGGCCTGAGGGAGGGGGCGCGGCCGCCCGCGCGCAGAGCCGGCCCGGCGGCAGGGGCGGCGCCCCGGGCAGGGGGTGGCTTCCCCGCGAAGCTCGCATTTCCTGGGCGCGCCCCAAGCCCTCTCCGCGGGCTCGTCCCCGCCGCGCCTCCCCGCACCGCCAGCGCGGCTCGGCGCCCCCTAACGCCCGCAGAAGTCCCCGAGTGACCGGGGAGGAGCCCCCCCGCGCACAGACACAAGCCCACGTGGGGGCCTGCGTGACGCCCGCTCCGTGGTCGTGCACTGTCGCCGCTGCCGCGGCCCACCCCCGGCTCCGGTCGCCTGGCCGGGTCCCCTCCAAGTTCAGGCTGGGGGTGGAACCTGTTGCTGGAGCTCACGTTTCTCCCCTCCTGGCTGCTCGCCGAGGACGACCTCGAAGAGTCGTGGGGAATGGAGGGTCAGCGTGCGGTGGGACTGATACCTGGCCTGGTGGTGGAGAATCTGTTCTAAACGTTTGGACAAGGCTCCACAGTCCCCTTTGGCCAGCTCTAATCCAGGAGGCGTTAAAAGAAGGGAAGAGGTGGATATCGGGTGCCATGGTCCTGGCACATTCGCTGGCTTTGCTTCCGTTAAATTTTTCAGGAAACTGAGTCAAAGAAACCTATGCTGGGTTTTTCAAAACACACTGGCTGCCTGAGTTTGGCAGCTCATCGTATTAGGAACAAGGTTCCATGAAATAAAAGAAACCAACACTTATAAGGTGTAGATGGGTCACAGAGCACCGTTTTTATGTTTGTTTTTTGGTGAGGAAGATTGGCCTTGAGCTAATAGCTGTTGCCAATCTTTCTCTTGTTTCTTTTTTTTTATTGAGGAAGCTTGTCCCTGAGCTAACATTCGTGCCACTCTTCTGTTTTGTATGTGGGATGCCACCAGAGCCTGGCTTGATGAGCGGTGTGTAGGTGGGCACCCCCACATGCGAAGGGGCCACCAAAGCAGAGCACAGGAACCTAACCACTCCCCACCTACTTGGTCCCACAGATCACCTTTTAAGGATTAAGAATTTCCTGTGAGCGAACCATGCTGACCTGTAAGAACTGGGAAACTAGGAAATGCCCTCTTCTCTGGTGATTACAAACAACAGCATTTAAAACTTAAATGTTCTCGCACGCACACAAAAGACCAGTCTGTGAGGTGATGGATGTGCTAACTCACGGGGGACTCCTTTCACAATGTATATGTGTATCACATCATCACGTTGTACACTTTAAGTGTCTTACAATTTTATATGTCAGTTATAACTCAACAAAGCTGGAAAATTAAAAAAAAGAAAAGCAACATTTAATTTTACAACAGATTGGGGAAAACCAGTTTTTCTGAACTTGTAGATCAGGACCTGCTACCAATTATTCCCAGTGGATCCCAGCCTGGACCGCCGCCACTCTGGCCTGGCACCCTTGGAATGCTTGGAATTCTTGAGTAGGGAGTGGCCGCCAGGCTGACATTTCTTCTAGGTCCCAATCGGGGCTTGGCGCAAAGACCCTTTGTTTAAGTGATTTCAGGCAAGTACAACTCTCTCTCTCCTCGGTGGCCCGAGCTGGGGAAGAGAAGCTAATCTTGTGCCTCCTCTGAAGCGGCATCTTACGAATGGCAGGAACAGGGGCCTGAGCAGGCCTGTTTACAGCTCTTCTGTAAAACAGTGCTGATTATAACCTAAAATGTCGTTTACAGGAACATCTGTAAGCAGCCTGCCTTGTGTTCCAAGTATGGTTTGATTTCGAGGTTGCTGAGAAGCCCTGGGTCAGCTAGCTGCCCCTCTGAGGTGGAGGTGGCCTGTGAACCGTCAGAGATGTGGGTAGGAAGCACTGTGTGCTGGGAGCTAGAGAGCTGCTTTCCAGGTCACCATGAGACATGGCCTAGGGCCCAGAAGGCCCCCTGCTCTGCAGGACGCAGGCAGACCGGCGAGCAGCTGCGCTGGGCACAGGGAATGGCGGTCTCCGGACAGTATTTAAACGTTAGGTCCTCCTTCCTCAGCCTCCCAACGCGACTCCCTCCTGGGCCCGGCTCATCCCCTGCTGCCCAGATGGTCTGTGTTCAGGGAATGCAAAATACGGCCTTAGAAAAACATGTGGCAAGGCAAATCCACTGCCAAAAATGCAGGGCATTTCAAAGCCAAATGGAAACATCTTTGAATTATGTGTCCTTGTAAATTATTTTGTGACCAGATATTCTGGATCAGATGGGAAAGTACCAGGTTGCCTTTGTCTTTTCTCTTCACGCAAGGTGCCTGGCTAGCCCAGTTTCCATCCTGTCTCCAGCTTTCCATCTCCTGCCAAGAACCGTCCCACTCTGGAACAGGAAGCTCTGCCAACTCCTAGGCCGGCGACAGTCTACAGACACATCCAGCAGGAGAGAGATATGATCTGCAAAATGATGGAAAGCTCCTGTCTTCCTGTTTACAGGACGGTGGCTCCAACTTAGAGGCTTGGGCCCGACAGACTTAGATTTGTGCCCTGCAACCTTTGTAAATTAGACATCAGAGATGTGAGGCGAGTGGCTGTCATCCCAGGCCAACACCTTCCCCCGTCCATCACCAAGTCCTGTCCCTCTTGAATGTCCACTGTTCCCACCCAGTCTGGACTGCCGCGTCCTGAGGCTGCTCAACAGTCTCCTGCTCTCTCTGCCATTCTCCACATGCAACCAGGGCGTCTAAGTGCAAATCTGAGGAAGTCTCCTGCTCTCTCTGCCATTCTCCACATGCAACCAGGGCGTCTAAGTGCAAATCTGAGGAAGTCTCCTGCTCTCTCTGCCACTCTCCACATGCAACTGGCGTCTAAGTGCAAATCTGAGCAAGTCTCCTGCTCTCTCTGCCACTCTCCAAATGCAACCTGGGCGTCTAAGTGCAAATCTGAGCAAGTCTCTCCTGACTTCATTAGAACTCCCAGGGCTCCTCATTGCCCTTAAAGGAACTTCTACTCATCCTGTAAGTCTCAGGTTAAATGTCACTTCCTCCTGGAAGGCTTCCCAGATTCCCTCTGCCTGTCCTAAGTGGATCTGGTGACTTTCTCCTGCTCCCATGACACTCACTGCATTTATTACACACACCATACGAGGTTGCTGTTGAATTGCTTATCTTCTCTACCAGACTCAAGAAATTCGTTTTATATCAAGACCCAGGCCACAGATATATATAAAAATATTTTAAAGTTTCATAAAACTCTTATTTCGTAAAATTCCATCCTAATTTATTTGAATAAAATCTGATCACACTTTGCCATTGACTTCACAACCCTTAAATGGGTCAGGGCTCCCAGTGTGAAAAAATACCCCAAAGTCTGGGAAGGGAGGAGCCATTCCTATCTTGTTCATGGTAACTGGAATGGAATAGGAGCTTCACTGATATTTGTTGCTAGAATTATTAATAATAACACTTAGTTCATTTAATCCTCAAAAGTCCTGTGAAGAAATGAGCATCCCCATTTATAAGTGAGCAAGCTGAAGGCAGTAAGGTTAAGTAACTTGCCCAATGTCATGAAGCTGGAATGCTGGGTGGCAGAGCCAGGATTTGAAGCCAGGGAGTTTGGCTTTGGAATCCTTGCTGTTGGTCACTCAGCTAAAAGCTCCGTACTCCTTGGTCCAGATGCATATAGATGAATTTACCAAGCAAAGATGTCAGAAAGGGTCTCCTTGCAGCAACCTCAGATGGGTCTCAGTCTCCCAGCCTGCAGAGGCTCCCTGGGCAGTACTTCTGTCCATGTGGAGAGGGCGGCAGCTGGCAAGAGCAGCTGTTCCCCTCTGCTCACATGTGCTACCTCCTCAGCTGTCACCAAGTCCAGCAATACTCAGCAAGCTGGGAGATTGAATTGTGTAAAGGAAGCGTAGAGACACCTCAGGAAAGGAATTTCACACTGTTGTGAACTACATAAACTCATGCCTTAAGTTCCCCCCAAAACAAGTCCTTTAAGAAGGTGGCCACCATGAGATGGATATTCACTTTGTCATGGATAGGAAACTGTCTGGAATAATTCTCAAAGAGCAGGGTTAAGGTCGTGTTCCTTAGGGGTCAATGCGATTTATAGGATTTTAATCTGTAAAGGCAACATTTGAGAAAAGACATGATGAAGTATTTAAATCATAAAGAGTATGAATAAGTGGGAAAAAGATTTATTTGCAAAATTCCCAAATTAATTCTAAAATTATTAGCCCTAATGCTGAACCCTCTCTAAGTGGTGACATTTAGAATAATAAAGAAATGGCTGGCGAACCATTTCATCTTTATTACATGAATCACCAGCAGGTCGCATGCAGTACCCAGACGCTCTCCTATTTCATCTCCCGTTCCCCCTGATGTAACTACATGGGAAAGTTTAGCAGCACTGTGGGCGAAGGAACGTGTGGCTTTGCGTCCAGCCCTGCCTCTGACCAACTCTCTGACCTCAGTTTCCTCAGGAAGGGGCTGGACTGCATGATCGCGGTGTTCAGCAAAGAGTAAGAAGGAATTGAATGAATGTCTAAGTGAATGAACTAAAAGGCTTCTTCTAGCTTAAAGGCCCTTTGGATTTCATCCTAGAAACTACGGGAAATATGGTATAAAGATGTCTCTGAATGGTTTCACCACTTTCCTTAGTGGGGGAGGTAACGTTGGGTCTTCCACTCATTCAAAACCGAGGCGTGTCTCCTGCAGGCGGGGTAACCGCGTGCTGTTTCTCCTTTACTCCTGTAGAGCTGGGGGCCCGTCCTAACTGGTGAGTCTGTACGTGTAGAAATTTGGGAGCTGCATCCTATATGCCCTAAAATAATTTTTTCTTTCATTCACTTATAGACCTATACTTTGATGAAAAAAAATCCCTTAAAAAACATTTATATCTTGAAGGTTTGATTCTCTAGAAAACCATAGATTGCATTTGTTTTCCTCAATAAAAATGAAATGGCAAAATCCAGGCAAAACTCAGCCCTTAGAAGATAGTGGCAATGACCTATTTTCCAAACCTGAAACCAGGACACTTGGCCTGACAGGCGACAGCTCACCGCAGCTGGGCGAGCGCATGTTTGACGAGGGATCTCCTGGAGAGTGCAGCGTTGGGGGCTGAAGCAACTCTTCCTGCAGCAAAGGGACAGATCCTTATCGGAGAAGGCCACACAGAAGGTGCCAGCGAGGACCCCAGCACGTGGCCACACAGACTGTGCCCTGTGCAGTGCAGGGGTCTGTGAACTGCGCCACAGGTCCCTGCAGGAGACACCGCGTGGCACGATTCGCCTGGATGGCGATGCCCAGGGCACCCCTGGAGGTGGTCAGTGCACAGCAGGGCACAGAGGCTCGACTGGGAATTCCGCTGGTAGGAACTTTGTTCTCTATTGACAAGACTGGAAGAGGAAGGCTGCTGTTCTTTTCCTAAAAAAGTCATACTTCAGGCTGGATGGCGCTGACAAACAAGTCTGTAA